CTGTTACCTATGAGTCCTTTTGAGCACTAGTAACTCTCAAAATGACTCAAGTAAAATAAAGATCATGAGCTTGTTTAAAGTTTCAACTTCAGGATTTATTCTGCAGATTTGCCTCCAAAGGGGGTTTATGCTCCTCCTCTGCACTAAGCGCCACCTAGTGGCATATTTAAGTAATGTCATAGAACATGTAAAGTGTAGTGAGATAACAGTGAATCACCAATTAAAGATATAATAAGCACAAAAAATATAACTAGGGTGCCCCCCGTTAAATTAAAGATTTTCTCTAATAATTGAATTACTAATTAAACTAAAAGTGAAAGACAAGCCACTATCACCCTTTAAAGAAAGAAAACAACAAAACCCAGGAGTTTGTCACTAAACTGAAAAATAAGTTAATGACCAAAAAACACACTCCTCTCTACTGATCAGGAATAAGCAGTCATCTCACACACACACACATCCCACTGGCTACAAAACCAACAAGACTTTTTGCTCCTTATCTTAATTGCTGAGTAGAGTCAGCTGAACAAAAAGTGTGGCATCTAAGGCGGGGAGATGGCAGGACGCACCAACACACGGTCAAATTCACAAGACAAACCAAATGAACCTTTTTGCAGTTTTCAACGTTATTAAAGGAATGCTGTGGCTTTTATTTTAGTTTTAAAATACTACATGTATAACAGGTTTAATCCCTGAGGTATGTCTGTTTCTGAAATTCCATTGTTGTGTAACAAACCACATTGCTGTTAAGCTCTGTGTGGTTGGCTTTGTGTGTCTGAATATATTTGACTGCATATCTGTCCGCAAACTGTGGTGTAGCCCAGCCCAGTCACTTCAGTGAGAAGGAGTCAAATCCAGAAGGGAGTGCATATGTGTGTCTATGTGTGTTCAATTTAACGGCGAAGCCTTCACTCAACAGCGATGGCAGTCCACACATCCAGGATGTTTTCGTTGCTCCTTATAATGACAGTTTTTTTTGTGGCTTTGATTCTATCTCAGGAAAAGTTATCAAAACGGTAAGTAGTTTATTTTATTTTGTTTTTTAAAAAAGGAATCATAAATTGATTTTCTAATTCTGAACTTTCCTTTTTGTTCCCTTTTGTTCTGTTTCCATTTGTGCTTTTCTGTGAAATTTATGATTCAGTTGGATAACTTTCTCAGGAAAACATGAACTCCGATGGGAAAGCATTTCGTTTGATATTAAACTCTGGGGACAGAAAGAAAAAACAACTGCACTGCTTTCTGTGTCTACCACAACCAGCCCAGCAAAAAATGTTGATTCAACACAAACAAACCCAGTGACAGAACCGAAATACTCTACACATGGAGCCGTGGCTGAGACTCCAATACCTCTCCTCTACCAAGGAAATTTCACAAAGGCTCCTCAGTGGGATTTTGATGATGTCTATAACCAGGATGCCCCACCCAGACCAACAGTAAGCATGCTAAGACACAATATGACAGAAACAGGACAAATGTAGTAATTAACTTGATGGGTGTGGGCTGGCAACACTGAAGTGAGCTCAGCAATGCAGTCAGTCTGTTGCCTCTGCTGTAACTGTCCTGTATTTTCTGTTTGACTGGGTTTCTTAATGGTTTCACTCCTTTAATTACAGTATATGTTTTTTTAATTATTCCTAAAGGTTTCTAAAATAAGTCAGGCACAAAATCTTTTTAACCTACTTCACAATTTAATATTTCTGTTATTATCAGACATGTGCCCAATCACTGCAAAACTCTCAGGATGAGAACTTCAAGAAGGGTTTTCTTCCCAACATACGTTTGTTTCTGCACAAGGACAACATTAACATGAGCGAGTGGAATCGCCTTTCACATTTTAACAATCCTTTTGGGTTTATGGAGTACAAATATGATGGTAGGTAGTTGTGAAACTGATATCAGGTCAAGTATTGTGTAACAGACTGCTAAGTAATGGAATAATAGATTTTTTTTTTTATGATTTAATTTCCTCTTCCTAATTCTAACTCCAAATATTCTGATAAAATAATTGTGAAAAAGATACACGTCAATAAGAAAGACAGTTAAGTGTTAAGAAATATTATGTCACCTTTTATTATTGTTTTTGTGTCACAGACACTTTTCAGTTCTGTAATTACACTATTTCCAGCACAAGAGAGACAAAGGTCCTGGTGAAGTAAGTCAAAGCTCATCAAGCTTATAAAGAAGTAATTAAACAATCAGTCAAAAAAGCTAAGATTGAACTTGTATTGAAAGACATGACATTATTCTTACCGCACCCAATGAAAATACAGTCATTTCATTATATATCTGTTCAACGGCTCTTTAATGCAAATACCTAATCATCCAATCACATAGCAGCATCTCAATGCATTTAGACACATAGATATGGTCAAGATTACCTGCTGAAGTTCAAACTGAGCATCTGAATGGGCAACGAAAGAAGATTTATTTGTATTTAAGTGTGGCGTAGTAGCTGGTGCCAAATGGGCTGGCCTGAATATTTCAGAAAGTGCTGATCTACTGGGATTTAAATTTTCCCACACAACCATCTCTAGAGCTTACTATAGAAGCTTTTTTCTGCACTGAAAAAAAGGGTTTTTTTGTGAATTAAAAAATTACTTTTTGCCATCCATAAGTCAATTAATAATGATAATAACCCATCACAATACAATAATAAAATTATAAAATAATAAAAATAATTCATAAAATGGTAGGAAGCACTGGCAGTTCTCTGGGTGAAAATGCCTTGTTGATCTCAGAGTTCAGAGGAGAACAGCCAGACTTCTTTGTACTAATATGAAGACAACAGCAAATAAACACTTGTTACAGCTAAAGTATGCAGAAGAACAGATAACAAATTGAAACTTGAATTACCAGAAAGCCACACACACCAGTTGCCACTCCTATCAAAACAGGAAACTAAGACTACAGTTTAGTTTAGTTAGTTTTAGTCTAACCCTAATCCAGCAAAACTGGAAAACATAAGATTGGAAAAAACACTATTTGGTCTGATGAAATTCTGCTGTGAAATTTGCATGTTAGGATGAAAATCTGGCATCCACAAGTCTGAACAGGTTTGCTCCTGTAAGTGTCTGTACTTATGCGTTCTCTTTTCGTTTGCAGAAGTGATGGCTTCAGTGAAGCTGATTCCAAAGCCAAAAGAGCCACTGCTCCTCCCAAAACCAGGGGGCGATGGCTGTGTTCACTGCGCTGTGGTGGGTACTGCGGGAATTCTGAACGGCTCAAAAGTGGGTGCAGAGATCGATGCTCATGATTACATTTTTCGGTAAGAAAGAGCTTCAAAAAATACCTGCCTATTCTCTCTGAACTGAAGGGTAGTTCAGGGGTAAAATGTTCCTATTTGAGAGCAGTTTAATGGAGAGCACAACAATCACTTAGGTCTGATGAAATCTCTAGAAACAGCCAGCTAATAACATATTTCAGTGGTATTTAAAAATACCACTGAAATATATTATAAACCTTTAAGATCAAGATAAATTAAGTGGCTGAAAGCATCACAAAGAGAGTATTTCTTCTTTGGTACAACATCACATAAACTACTTTATGAGGTAAACCTTATTAGTACTATGCTGGAGTCCTTTTTCTCTTCAGAACCTTCTGAAATAGACCAGCCAGTCGACACCAACAACCATGCCACTTTCAAAGTCACCTTTCTTTCACAATTTCTACATGTCTATATTCAATTTGAATTGAAAAGCCTTATGACTGGCTTACCAGAGGTTTGGGTTGAATAGGTGTACCTAATAAATTTTTTTTTTTTTGCAAGACGTTACTCAAATTAACCTATAAGGTATTTCTATTCACAAAATTTTCTGAATGTATAAAGAGAGAACTGCTCTTATGTATCACAACTAAACATATCATATCTTAACACAGCAAACCGAACACAATGGCCAGTTGTGACTGGGTTAGGATTAGACTCTCATGCCGGGCATATGTAAACAGAGAGTGGAGAGAGCTGCTGTCAGGAAGTATATCAGCTCACCCAAACTAACTGCCAAACCAAACTGCCTAATCTCTGTTTACACTCAAGCATATGTAATTGTAGAGTTGGGCAAATAGCACAGAAAGAAAGCCTGCAATGAGACCTGTCAGAGAGCTAAAGAAGGATCCAAGAGGAGAACACACCTCTTAAAATTCCAGGATATTCCACACCTTAAAAAAAAAAAAAATGTATTATTTCTGTGTATTAGAATGCATAGGACAATATTTAACTATGGTGGAGAGCCTTTGAGATATAATTTGTGTACACTTATGCAGACACTGATATGAAACTCATTTCTCTCAGAAAATTGGCAGTTGTTCTTCAAGAACTTCTTTCTTTTGAACAACTTAAAAAAGAAAAAGAAAAAGAAAAAACCTCCAAGAAATAAGAAGCAGGAACATGTGCAGACATGTATTTGGGTGTTTTTGGTTATTTTGGTTGAGCAGATTTTTTTTTATCCTTTTTTGTAGCAGAGCTTAAAGACAATGGCAGCATATAAAAAGAAAACCCTTACAAACAGAAATGACAAAAGTAGCAATAATCATGATATAATATTGTGACAAAGAAGCCTAGGAACTAGTGTTGCAGAAATGTCGTAAATATTTCCCATTGCCTAAGAGTTCCTTTTCCTGCCAGTCAAAGCTTTCCTGCTAAATAATCCATCGCTGTTGTCATACGGTGTTTTCAAACAGTGATTAAGTGATTCATTCATTTGCAAACTGCAGGCAGCCCTTAGGTTCTTTTTCAACAGACTTTTTGCTGGTGCACTTCACATACACATTGAAACTGTGCGCTGGACATTTGGGCCATATTTGCTAAAGCAGTCACTGCTGGACAATCTGGAAGCATTTTGAAATCTCTGACGCTTGCAGCTGATTTTTTCTACAGCATAATAATTTAATTTCACTACCTTACCAAACTTATAGGTACAGTACTTACATGTACTTTTTTCTGACTGATGAATAAGCTAGCTCTTTTTTTAAATTAATGAAATTGTCATGAAACTTAGTTTTTCATGTGCCATCTCTATATATCTGTATATATGGCTTATATTAAGCCTCCGGTTTAAAGATGGTAACAAATGGCGAACAAATTACTTTTTTTTGTCAAATTATTGCATTCTACTTAAACTCTGGATTGGTTGGACTATAATTTTTTTTTTCGTTGGGTCAGGGTTGGATCGTTTTTTTGTTGTTTCCTTACTAAATTAAATCATCATATACAAAAGTTTGTGTTCTGCATTTACTTTAGTGTCTAATATTGAAATTACTTTCACGATCAAAAACATACAGCATGTGACAAATATGTGCAAAAAAGAAAGAAAGACAGGAAAAAATTCAATATTGAGGCAAATATGTTTGACAGAGACAGTGCCATATCTTGTCTTATTATTTATTTATTTATTTGCTTATCTTTCAAGCCACTGTTTATGTATAAGGTGCATTCTGTCCTTTGACCCTCGTTGTAAGCTACAGTACATGACTGGTTGGTCACAGGATGAAAACCCCGTCATATCAGACGGCATTATCAGTTGCAATAACTTTACACCAATAAAATATAGGAAACAGATTAACTCTCTGGCTCTTGATACAGCCCTTACTGTTGTAGACAAACACACTTGATATGGATGCTCTTTGTGGACTTCAGCTTGCCATTTAATGACATTGTTTCAAATAAGCTGTTGGACAAAGTTCATGCACTGACTTAAATATGTTACTAGATGCTATATTAGCTCACCAAATGCCCCCAGGCTGTCAGGCTGGACAAGCAAATACCCCAAGCCTCAATATGAGCACTAGAGTCATTGCGATCCTCCTCTATGCTCTGTACACATAACTGTCAATCCATCCATAACATGGACATCACGGATCATTCGACTCATGACTGACAACAAACAGGATGCATACAGGGAGGAGGTTCACACTTTGACACCATAGTGTCAAACACTTAAATGTCTGAACCAGGATATTGCCTAAATGTCTTTGCACTTACCACAATTATATGTATGCCTACCCACAGGTTAGTGATTGAAGACCAGCTTTCTTGTGCTAGTTCCAAATAGTCAGTTTATTGTCACCTTGCTGAAACAAGAATTGATATTTATAAGTTTTTAATTTAACAGTCACAAATAGGTCATTCAAACTATATGTGACCATTTAACATTTATAGCTGTATATTTTCATCATATCTTTCTCATTATGTCTTTCTCCTCCTTCCAAGGGATCTAATTGTATCCCTGGAGAAAGGAAGAGTTGCTTGAAATAATTATAAGTCTCTGTGTAATCACTTTTTAGCTATGGTCCTCTCCAGATGCCAAAGCCTCTATCCATAAAGAACAAGCTGAACCAGCTTAACCATGGAATCACTTAAACCTAATGCTCACCGTTGTCGCAAGTCTGATTTCAGCTTGCTGTCCACCCAATGATTTTTGTAATATGGCGCAAGTGCGCAATCATTTTGGTCTTTACCAACATTTTAATGATCTATTAGTGCAGGAACTCACAGATTCATCTCAGAGAGAGATGCTTCAACAGTTTTCTGGAAAAAATGCAAATTCTTTGCTTCCTCTGCTCTTATACCCATGCTGATGTGGAGGTCTCTTCCTGAATAATATTATTATTTTTTTTTTTTATTTCATGTTGATAGGACAGTGAAAAGAAGACAGGAAAGCTTACACTGGCCCAGTGTGGTGTGTCCCACACCCTTACATGAAATCCAAAGAAGGAAATAGACTTTCAAACTCAAATGAGAAGCCAAGCAATTACACTCACAAAACTTGTTCTTACCTCAACTCTTAAGGAAGTGATACCAGTAGAAAGAACCGACTTTATATGAGGAATGCCAAGATTACCTATGAGTTCCCAGACTGACTGTTATTTCCTAAGCCTAAACAACACCAGCTATTGTCTGAAAAGATCTCTTACCGGCATGTGACTCAGCTGTACTGGTAAATGACACCCCCCCTCTGGTACTCCAGACTAGAAATATGAATCACATCAGTCATCAAACAGACCTAATATTCATGCTATTTGTGGAACTGATTTCAAAATGGATGAGAGCACTAAAAAAAAAGAGATTTTAGCCAGTGACTCATGGAAAATTTATTTACGCCATAAGTTTCACCTCTTTGAATGGAAGTCTGTTAGATTTTTTTGGTACCGCAACCTACTAAACAATGGTGCTATTGCAGCTAATTAATATTATGCTGATCCTTATTTCCAGTCTTGCATACAACTAGACGGCTTGTGGATGAGGCTTTTGTACTAACACTCCTGAGATATGAGCACTTAGTGACATCATACAGGGTCAAGAGCTGAAAAACTAGTTTGTTTTCCCCACTAAGTCAAAATACTGGGAAAATTACTCAAAACTGACAAAAAGGGTTATTAATAACTAGAAATTAATATAGAAATTAATTGCTGAAAACATTTTTTATTGATGTAAATAAACTTGCATTAAAAAAATTCTCTTGTACTTTATGGGAAGGCATCAAGGAAATCCTTGAACAAATGCTGCTATAAGACAGAAACTAAGGAAAAGCACAATAAGATGAAAGGCATATCAAACCGCTTTCAGTGTGAATGCTGTCACTTGAACTATAGTGACTGAACTTGAACATTGCAATGAAATCAACATAAACCAAACCAAAGATCAATTTTCTGAATTGCGTCTGTTTGGCAGGATGAACGGTGCCGTTACCAAAGGTTTTGAGGAAGATGTAGGAAATAGAACATCAGTGTACGTTCACACAGCGTACTCCATCACTGCATCACCTTCTGTTTTTGGGACATATGGATACAAATCTGCCCCTCATGATGAGGTACTAAAGCTTAGACAGGATTGTGATACTTTTTATAATCTCCACAAAATAAAGATGATTACTCTGCATAATTTTTCTCTTGGCAGGGAATAAAATATGTGATGATTCCTGAGGGAATAAGAGATTTTCAATGGCTCGGGGGTCTTCTCAAAGGGCAGCAGATCTCTGGTGGCCAATTCGACAAGGAATGGTGATTATCATCTGCAGGAAATTGACTGAAAGTTTTGCTGTATGCTCATTGTTAAATTTTTAGCTTTCATTTGTGATTTCTCATTGATGTACGTGGCTGTTACATACACTGGTTATTTTTCTCTTTCTTTAACAAATTTAGATTTTCTAATTGCTTTAAATTGACATTAGACAACTTTTTAAGAGCAGCTGTGGTTTTGTCTAGCTAGTAAAAATCCATGGCCACAGCTCCCAGATGTCACTGCTGAGTGCACCAACAACCAAGTGAGAGACGCACAGGTGTCTTGCTTAACAGATTCAAATGACAAATACACTCTTGAAACACCCAAAACAACATGAAACTTGGGTTGTAATCCACTTTGGTTTTAGGTTTTAATAGGGAATTTAAAAAAAAAAAGAAGAAGAAACAAACAAAAGAAAAAAAAACTAATAATATAAATTATCCCTCCTGTCTTTTGTGTTTTAACCTCACCAGGCCAAGGGACTACTATTCAGGGCAGTACAATGAGAGCCGCTTCTACGTTCTACACCAGGACTTCCTCCGATACGTGAGGAACAGGTCAGCAGTGCAATGAATGTATAGGAGAATGACTGAAAAATCAAGGTGTTGCAATGGCCCAGTCAACGTAAAGAAATGCTTCAAACTTTAATGAACTGAAGCGACATTGCAAAGATGAGTGGGGAAAAAAATTCCTGAACAACAATGTGAGAAACTCACATTGTTGTTCAGGAATTTCTAAAAGGTACCGAATCATGTTGAATAAATGATTACTTGGTCTAATATGTCATGTGGTGGCATTGTTCATCTGGGTTTATGTTTACGTAATTTCAAGATTGCTTTTTTTTCAAGATTCGTTCGTTTTGTGGTTTGACTGTGACATATAGATGTCATCTACTTTGCAGAAAACATGTGTGAAATAGCTTATTTTCATTAAAGAGCTGCTTTGAGGCTTTTAGTCTGTGTATTGTGTATATAGGTGTGGAAACCAATACCTCTACACAGAAATGTAAAGGTAATATTAACTCACTGTGTCACAAGTATGCAAAGCCAGGAAGAGAGTGAATGCTCCATTGGTTGGTCTGACTATTGCCCAGAATCTTCTATTCAGATTAGGTGACTTTAGGAACCTGTGATTAAAAAACAAACAAACAAACAAAAAATATAAAAATACTGGAAGGGTTAAGAGACGATCTGAAAATGAAAGAAGGAAAACTTGCACAATAAATACAGATGATGGTGACAAGGGAAGTGGAAATACACGGGGAACACAGTTGGGAGAAGTTAATCGAGACAGAAGCACACAAACAAACACACTAAACACAGGACGCAACATTGTCAAAGTAAAACACTAAGACGCAGACAAGAACACACAGCCTGACATGAGGCCGGGAGGAAGGAACCCAAAAGGGAACAAGAAAGACTGGGGAGACAAACCAGAGGTGTGGACTCGAGTCACATGACTTGGACTCGAGTCAGACTCGAGTCATTAATTTTATGACTTTAGACTTGACTTGAAAAAATGTTCTAAGACTTGTGACTTGACTTGGACTTTTACACCAATGACCTGGGACTTGAATTGGACTTGAACCGGTTTACTTGAAAAGACTTGATATTTTACCCCAAATATAAAATTTAACATGCATATTATATAGAGATTGAAAATGTGACGTCATTCACGGGTAGAACCGCAAAGGATTCTGGGAACTCGTGGCAAGAGGTACTAGCGCACGCAGGCTTTCAATTGAAATCAGTCACACAGCGATAAAAAGAAACACAAAAATGTCAAGAAGCTGTTGTATTATTAACTGCAATAGCCGGTCGCATGACAGCCACGGGAAGCCGACGGGTAAAGAGATCGGTTGTTATCGGATTACGTCGTTGAAGAGAAATTGTTCGAGCCATGTTTCCGAAGTAACAAAGAGGCGACGGATGGCCTGGATTGCAGCCATTCAAAGACAAATATAACGTCCCAGAACACTCCAGCTCACAGGTTAGTCTGCTCCAAGCATTTACACGAAGGTCAGTCTGCTGTTGTAGTTAATGCGTCATTTTCATAACATAATCGGTGATATCAGAATCAGAATCAGAATACTTTATTGATCCCTGGGGGAAATTATTTTTTGTTACAGTGCTCCATTTTAAACCAACATTAAGACAAGACAGACAATACACTAACTAAGAATAGTACAATATATACATATATATACATACATAAGTCACTCATAAATAAATAGTTGGAAAAGAAACATGTGTAGTTGTAGTAGCAAACAGTGTGTTAAGTGGATGCGTTGTACAGGGAGATGGCCACAGGCAGGAATGATTTCCTGTGTCGTTCAGTGGTGCTTTTCGGTAATCTCAGTCTCTCACTGAACGTGCTCCTGTGACTGACCAGCATGTCATGGAGTGGGTGGGAGGTGTTATCCAACATTGTCTTTATCTTGGACAGCATCCGCCTCTCCGACACCACCTTGAGGGAGTCCAGCTCCATCCCCACAACATTGCTGGCCTTACGGATCAGTTTATTAAGTCTGTTGGCATCTGCGACCCTCAGCCTGCTCCCCCAGCATGCAACAGCATAGAGGATCGCACTGGCCACAACAGACTCATAGAAAATCCTCAGCATTTTCTGGCAGATGTTGAAGGACCTCAGTCGCCTCAAAAAATAGAGACGACTCTGGCCCTTCCTGTAAAGTGCTGTGGTGTTTTTAGCCCAGTCCAGTTTATTGTCAATGTGTACTCCATAGGTTACAAGCAAGTCTGGCGCTGAACAGAAATTGTCGCGCTATGCTCCTTTGTTTATTGTGCATAAATAGTGAATTGTCCTGACACAATATTGTGTTTCGCTTCTGTTATTATGGTACATTGACAAAAACATATACTTTTATTCACAGGATAAAACAGGTTTTTTGTATCACTAATTGCCCAGTACGATTACAGCATACAGTATTATTGTCACTGCTACATTTCTGTGATGCTACCAGAAATTATTTCCACTACTAATTAATTACCGTTGAGCTCAAAGGTCCTATTAATAAACGGTTAACGAATGTGTATTTATGACGACAATTTGTGAGACTGGTAAACTTATGATACGTACGATGGTCTTTCGTTCTACACGGTGCATTTCAAGGTCCTGCACCCATCCGTCGGTAAACTGTACCTGGGCTTGTTGCAGTGACCTGAAGTTACTAAACTTCATGAGTGTGTGCACTCACTCCAAGAACCGTATGATTATAAATATGCATATAAATATGCTACGATGAGATAGCTGACTTCATCTAACTAGCAAATGTTGTCCAGGCTACGTTGGTGATGCAGTTTTTTTTAATGTATGATATTTTTGTCATGCGATTTTAAAGCCGGTCCTACAACCGCATCCAAGAATAACATGCAGCTTATCTCAGAACTGTCGGTGAAAATTATTCTTGGAGCTAGGTTTAATTGAGCTGCATTTTAAAGAGGTGCAATTTCACAATTTGTGTATATTTTCTAAGTTCACTATTTTGTCATGTGTTGAGAAAAACACAGATTTAAAAATTACATGGTCTAATATTTACATTTAGCATATAACTGCAACATGCTTTTTTTCGTTTTTTTAAAGACTCGAAAGGACTTGAAATTCAAAATTTCAGACTTGTGACTTGACTCGGACTTTTACACCAGTGACTTGAGACTCGACTCTGACTTGCCTGACATTACTTGAGACTTGACTTGAGACTTGAGGATAAAGACTTGAGACTTACTTGAGACTTGCAAAACAATGACTTGGTCCCACCTCTGAGACAAACAGAGGAGACACAAAGAGGGTAATACAGAATAATTAAGAAAGATGAGACATGGAGGGGGAGAGAGAGGCGAGATGGGCTGGGGAAAATGTATAGGAAAGCACATGACAGAGAGGGAAGAGATGGAATAAAAAACAAGGAGGGAAACATGTAAACAGAAAAAGGAGACGAGGCACATCGACAAGAAAACATGGAATCAGAAATAAAACTAAACATGGAAGCAAAACCGGGACTAAACTCAATACTAAATAATAGAAACCTACAAAATTAGCACAAAGAAGCCCCATTAACTCAAAATGCTCGGTCAAAAGACCCAGAACAATAAAAACACACATAAAAAAGAATTATGCCTAGTTAATTTCCTGCTATTAAAGTTGATATCACTGAAAATAGGTACATATGAAAACCAAATAAGATTTTGAAATCCATAATGTATTTCAATTGATTGACTGGAAGTCCCAACCATCACTTTAATGATTCTCAACAGAGCTGAGCAGAAGCTCAGAAGAGTCACTCTCCCAGAATGGAGTTAACTTTAAGAGCAAACTTGTTCAGGAAAGACAAAACAATATTAGATGATGAAAATGTGAACTGTTGCCTTGTTCTATGTTGCCCTGATGCACCAGTGATCTGTCCAGGGATTGGCACCAGCTTTCTGCAACCATTATTACATTATTATATTATATTATATTATATTATATTATATTATATTATATTATATTATATTATATTATATTATATTATTACCAACATCTGCTCATATGTATCACAGTATGCTCATAGGAGT